TTACTTTATAATTTTACCTTATTTATGAGGATCAATGACTACTACGACCACAAATTAGTTTACGGTACTTGAAAAGTTTTTGTTGGTACAATACCTTTATCCTGTAAGCAATCATGTCGTCACCTAAATCTAGGAAAATGCATCTTACGTAAGGTTCCATTACTACAGTTTTTTTTTTTACAATATTATAGTAATTTACTGATGATTCATTGTCGCGATGGATTGGTGAAAGTTTTTTGGGATAAAATAAGATTGTTTTCAAGAGAGAAAAGAGAGGAGCAAATATAGATAAAGAATAAAATTTAAAGAAAGATCAAAAAATAAAAAAATAAAAATAGAAGTAGCTTCCAAACTCCTTGAATAATATCCTGCAATGGCTTCCTAGTGAAACTCTCGGTGTGTGTGGTCCATAAACTAGAAAGGAACACATTTGCCAGATGGCACTGAAAAAGTCGATTGAAACACCATTTTGTAAATGCACTTCATCACTTTGTTCAAAATAACTCGATAAAAAAGACAATAAGAATAAGGCGAATATGAAATGAGAGTTGACAATTGAAATGTGGGTTAGTTGGGTTTTGCAATCGTTGTCTAAGGGCATCGAATTACCATTTGTAAATGTAACACATCATTTTGTTCAATAAAGTCAGAAAAAAAAATAAAAACAATAGCAAAGAAGTAATGATAGTCGATAATTGAAATGTAGGTTAATTGCAAGTTTGTTGTCGTTATATTGGAAGTGATTACCCTAATAGTGCTGAAGAACCAAAACAAGAAAGGGCAAATCATGGCAAGCTTTCATGCCTTCCGATATGGACATGCACTAGTCCTCCTTAAATTTCTCCGAATGGCTAGTGACCCATAACATAGTCTGTAATATTTCTTTCCTCCTTTCCTGCTATTTACCCCTTGTAATTGATAGCAGCAATAAATATATGAGACAATGAACAACTCTCCCATTCTAGGAGAGTACAACTCAAAAACACTATCTACTCTTTACTTTTAACATGGCATCATAGCCACAAGGCTAACCTTACCAAATTTTGATACGTCTCAAAAAAAATGGCTACTACCACCATCAATGTATGGAACTTCGTCACTCTTCTTTTGAAATGGGACAACTACCCTTTATGGCGTGAGCAATTGCTTGGATTGGTTGAGAGCCAAGATATTGTGGGGCTCCTCACTGGTGAAACCCCAATGCCAACTCCGCTTGTCTCTAGTTCTGAAGCCTCTAGTGATGGACTCAAAGAGACCAATCCAGAATATGTGAAGTGGAAAACATCAGACCATCTATTGCGGGGTTGGATAATCGGGACCCTCACAGAGGAGGCCCTTGGCTTAGTAATTGGTCTTGAGACCTCTGCTAAGATGTGGACAGCTCTTAAAGATGCCTATGCACAAGCTTCATAGGAGCGTGAGCTTCAACTTCAACAACAACTTACGTTTATGCGAAAGGATTCCTCCACTTATCTTGATGATTATATTCGAAAATTTAAAAGAAATTGTAACAATTTGGCTGCGATCGGAAGCCCAGTGAGTGAAAAAACAAAAGTATTTTCCCTTCTTAATAGCCTTGAGTCATTCACGACTTCCATGCTCAAGCAGCCTATGCCCTCTTGCGGCGAGGACATCCCTCTCCTCCAAAGTTATGAAAGTCGTATTAACCTTCATGCCGATTCTAGCACCTATGCTGCATTTTTGGACACAAAACTAAGGCTTCCAACCAGACCAATCAGTGAGGTGGAAGACGTCCCAATCACAACGGTTTTTCCTCTAAAGGCAAGGGATTACATCCATACAAACCAAAACAATCATGTTGTGTCTTCTACAAATTAGTTTGCTGCTCCTCTGCAAACTTAAAACAAAGAACGCAATCGAGATGTTACCTGCCAAATTTGTGACAAGAATGGCTATGAAGCGTTAAAGTGTTGGTATCGATTTGGCAATGCCTATTAGCCCAACGATGTGCCTCAGGCCCTTGCTGCATTAACTTTCAACAGTGGGGCCAAAGATCAAGAGTGGACAACAGACACAAGAGCTTTGACGCACATGACATTCAACGCAGGTATTCTAAATAATTTAAGACCTTATAATGGCTTGGATCATGTTATGGTAGGTAATGGTCATCTTTTGCCAATTACGAATGTTAGAGAAATAATGATAGGAAATCACTCACACACTATTAAACCTGATAATATTTTATTAGTACTACACCTTGAAAAGAACCTCTTATCAGTTGGTCAATTAACTAGTGATTACCCTCTTAATTGTAAGTTTTTTGGTGTTGGTTTCACTACAAAGGACAAGGCCACGAATCGAATACTATTGCAAGGACACAAATGAGGTAACCTTTACTTCATCTCAAACAAGTCTAAAACCCACTTCTCGGTGCAATTTAAAGCTGTGAACAATGATGTTTGGCACTAGAGGCTAGGCCATCCACAAGTAGCTGCCGTGTCCAATCTACAATCCCGCATTCTCAGCAAAAATAAAATCACATCTATATGTGAAAGTTATCAAATGGGGAAATTCAGTCGCCTTCCTTTTCTCAGTTCTTGAAATAAAAATTATGGTTTACTTGAAAAAATGCATTGTGATCTTTGGGGTCTAGCTCCTATCAATTCTATTTACAAGTTCTCTTATTATGCTATCTTAGTTGTTAAATCTACTCGATATATATGGTTAATTCAGACTTCTTTTTGCTTATTTGTTAAATTTCTCGAATGTCAATTTTCGAAAAAAATTAAGATTTTTTAATGTGATGGTGGTGGTGAATTTACTACCAATTCTTTGTTGGGTATTTTGTCAAAGGATAAACAAAACACCAAATTTGGATTGGATGAGTTACTATAGTAAAGCTCAATACTCCAATGAATAAAGGAGAAGGAAAACACTCTTTATTTAACTTGGCTCTTGGTCTTGGATTGAAGTACAAATGCAACCTTATATCACCTATTTATAGGAAACCATCTACGTCCAAATATATTGCAAGGTTGCACCCCAAGTATGGACACCCCATTTCATCCCATGTCATGTGATTACTGCATCCATTATCAAGATACCAAATATTATCTTTATCTTTTGTGGTTGATTGACATGAACAAAAAAATTTCCTTCTTTAGTTTCTTTAGAAAAATTGGCCTAGTCATTTTTCTTAAATTGACAATCTCTCTCAACATGTTCAAATTTTTTGTAGTTGTGACATTGAGGCTTTCCACGATACCAAAAATCCGATGTGATATGATTTTACTTTTTGCAAATATTACAAGAAGGCTTAGAGTTTTTATGAACTCATACCTTTCTCATAATTTTTATCACCTCCTCTTGAAGTTGAAGCTCGATCTCTTCCATATCCGACTCCTCTAATATGTTGGAACCTGAGTAGTCTCTCTTCGGATTCTTGCACTGACAAAGTGGTAAGATCTTTTATTTCTTCAATCGTAGCAACAATGTAATCATCTCTTAGGTAAACTAATCAGTATTTTTTCAATTTTTTCTGATCAGTTATTTTTTCATCAAATGATCTCATTTGATTAACAATTTGCATGACCCTTGAAAAATAATCTTGCATACCTTCAGAATCCTTCATCTTGAGATTTTCTAGTTGTCTTATCAAGTATTGAAGTTGATGCTTTTTACTTTTTTATCGCCTTCAAATTCTTTTTCCAGAATTTCCCATGCTTCTTTGGCTTTGGTGGCTTCACTAATATGCAAAAAATTGAATCAAATACAACTTGTTGAATGTAGAGAAGTACACTAGCATCCTTTGTGTAGTTCTCATTAAGGTCAGGATCTCCTGCGATATCTGTATAGCCATCTTCGGTGATGCTCGAAAGACTTTTGGACATCCAAAAAGTCTTTATTTTGATTTTCTAAAAATCATAGTTTCACCAGTAAATACCGGTATCATTGGTTGGGAAAAATTAGATACTGCCATTTTTGGATGGGTCTGAAAAATTGGCTAGATAAAAATTGAACTTTGCTCTGATACCAAAATATGTTGGGTATTTTGTCGAAGGATAAATAAAACACCAAATTTGGATTGGATGAGTTACTACAGTAGAATTCAATACTCAAATGAATAAAGGAGAAAGAAAACACTCTGTATTTAACTTGGCTCTTGGCCTTGGATTGAAGTACAAATACAACTTCATATCACCTATTTATAGGAAACCATCTATATCCAAATATATTGCAAAATTGCACACCAAGTATGGATATATTAGTGACCCAATATGATAATATCTAGTAGATTATTTGACCATGGACTTTTGGGTATGTAATTGTAGGCAACACATTCAAGTTGAACTTCTTTGCCAAGATATGGCCGGTGGTATTATCCCAAGTGGATAATGCATTAGACTTTCAACATGCTTTGAAGAATTATTTGTAGGAACAAGGAATCATCCACCAAGTCTCATGTCCTCTACACCAAAGCAAAATGGTGTTGCCGAACGTTGCCACCAAACAATTCGTAAATTGGGCCTTACTATGTTGTTTTATAGTAGTATGCCTGAACCTTTTTGGGTAGAGGCCTTCTCCATGATAGTGTTTTTGATCAACCGTATTCCTTCTGTTACGTTTGACAATGAAACATCCTTCTTTAAGTTCCATGGTCGGCCTACAGACTATTACTCTTTAAGGGTGTTTGGATCAAAATATTTTCCATATATTTAGAATGCTCAAACCACCAAATTTGACCCCAAGTCCCTGCCAAATGTGTTCATGGGTTATAGCAATAGATTCAAAGGCTATAAATGCTTTTATCCCCCCACTAGATGGATGTATGTGTCAAGACACTTAGTTTTTTATGAAGGGGATTTTCCTTTTAAAAACCACCAAGTTTACATTCACCTTCAACATGTCCTAAGGTTATATCGACCTTCTCGGAGTGGTTAGAATCATGGTTTCCCATTACCACCATCAAGACCTCACCCATCACTAGTATTTTAGATACACCTAACATCTCAGTGTTGTAGGATACTCATGATACAACCATGTCTTCTATACTGCTAGTAATTCTTGAACAACCAGATCATGACACTACGGTCAACATCGACTACTATCCATCACCTACCATATCCCCCACCGTGCTTGCAACTAAGGAGCAGTCTTTAACTTTTGAGCCAATGAGTGCCTCTATTAGAGCCTCGCCCCTTACAGATTGTGAATCTCTTACTGAGCTCACTAACTTTATTGATACCACCTCACTCACCGATGACACTACCGTTGCTTATGGGTTCAACTCAATCATGCCTATTCATCCCATGATCACATGGGCAAAACAGGTATTCTTCAACCTAATCCTAAGTATGCTAACCTTCATAAACTTCTCTCTGTTCCTCAGGAACCCAAGAGTATTCGCTCGGCCTTAAAACATGACAGGTGGACTCATGTAATGAATGAGGAATTAGAGGCACTTCATCAAAATAACACTTGGTCCCTTGTTCCCCGCTAACTTGATATGCATGTTATCGGCTGCAAATGGGTCTTCAAAATGAAACTCAATGTCGATGGGTCCCTAAATCTCTTAAAGGCATGCTTGGTGGCCAAAGGTTACCATCAAATGGATGGTGTTGATTACGTTGAAACTTTTTCTCCGGTAATAAAACCATATACAATTCATACAGTTCTCACCTTGGCTTTTGTCAAAATGGGAGATTCGACAATTAGAAGTCAAAAATGCAATTTTGCATGGTTTTCCAAATGAATCTGTGCTCATGGAACAACCACCTAGCTTTGTCGATATATCTTTCCCCAATCATGTTTGCAAACTAATAAAGCCCTATATGGTTTAAACAAGCTCCTAGAGCGTGATTTGATAGATTCAGTAGCTTTCTACTCGCCTTTGGATTCTTTTGTAGCATGTCCGATCCATCCCTTTTATTTGTCATTTCAATCGTAGCTCCTTAATTTTATTACTCTATATTGACAATACAATTTTAACAATTTCAAGTACTTGCTTACTAGAAGAATTTATTAATGCAATCCATCTTGAGTTTGCTATGAAGGATTTAGGTCCTTTACATTATTTTCTTGGTATTCAAGTGACTCCTACTCTTGATGGTTTAGTGTTATCTAAATACAAATATGCTCTAGATATTATCAAATGTGCACAGATGAAAGATTGAAAGCCGATTGCAACACCAATGACTCAAAAAAAATGAAGAACAATGTGAGCTCAATTCCTTTCTCTAACCAAGCACATTACGTAGCATCGTGGGTGCTCTTCAGTACCTCACATTAACACAGCCTGATTTAGCTTTTAGTGTCAATTTTGTGTCCTAATTTCATTCATATCCCTACCAAGGGTCACTACCATATGGTCAAGTGCATTATCCGCTATGTTCAGGGTACCAATGATCTAGTGTCCAACTACGATCCAATTCCACACTCAATTTATGTGCATTCGCAGATGCTAACTGAGTTGGATGTTTGGAGACTCGGTGATCCACCACTGGATTTTTCACCTTTCCAGGTATTAATTGCATTTCTTGGAGTGCAAAAAAATAGAATACAGTCTCTCGATCAAGCACTGAAGTTGAATACCACTCAATGGCACACACCGTAATAGAACTAACATGGCTTGCCTCCCTTCTTCGCGATCTTGGTGTTCGTTTGGACAAAACTCCTATTCTCTTTTGTGATAACTTAAGTGCTCTCTACATGACTGTCAATCCTGTGTTCCATGCCTGCAGCAAACATATTGAGATTGACTACCACTACGTCTGAGAATGTGTTGCTCTTGGCCTCCTTCAAACTCGGCATGTTTAATCTTTTCACCAACTAGCTGACATCTTCACCAAGCCTCTTTCCCGATTTAATTTTCAACGGCATCGTGCCAAACTAAACCTCACCAATCAGCTCAGTTTGCGAGGGCATATTGGAAGTGATTCCCCTAATAGTGCTGAAGAACCAAAACAAGAAAGAGCAAATCATGGCAAGCTGTCATTTGATCACATATTAATTGTAGAGCACAAGCCTTCTAATGTGGACACACACAAGTTCTCCTTAAATCACTCCCAGTGACTAGTGACCCATAAACATAGTTTGTAATATTTTTTATCCTCCTTTCTTGCTATTTACCCCTTGTAATTGATAGCAGCAATATATACATGAGACAATGAACAACTCTCACATTAAGGGAGAGTACAACACCAAAACACTATATGTTCTTTACTTTAAACAATTTGATCATCGAATCAGCCAAGCAAAACACTTTTTGTAAATGTACCTCATTATTTTGTTCAATGAACTCAAAAAATTAAATAAATAAATAAAAATAAAGTAGAGAAGAAATAAGAGTTGACAATTGAAACATGGGTTTGTTGCGGTTTTATGCGGTCCTTATCTAATAGCAGTGAATCAGTCAATCGACCCAACATTTGTAAATGTACTTCATTATTTCGTTCAGCAAAGTTGAAAAACAAAAACAATAAAAACAACAGTAGATAATTAATGAGAATTGACAATTGAAACGTGGGTTCGTTGTATGTTTTGTTCTTTATCATTCATTTTTCCAAAAAAGGAAATAATTTATTAAATAAGGAGCTGAGGCATTACAAAGTCGTCGCCCTGCTCTTACCCTACAAACTGATCACCAAGAAATTGTGGAAATCTAGCGAGCAATCTGGTCATCTTTTTTCGACCCATATCTCACTCCGAGATCCACAATTGCTTATAATTTTGCTTAATCCGAAGGGTTTGAGATGTAAAATTGCTCAACTTGGTGTTTTATGTATTCAATACTTCAATTTAATCATAATATTTTAAAGCCGAAGTGCCATGAATTAGGCTAACAACCACCCAAAGATTAGGCTGACAAGCACCCCTATGTATATCAAGCCAAAATGAACATAACAAAAAATGTGATTTTGTTTAATTATCCATATAATACATCATTTTTTACTTATTATCCTCTTATACATTTAAATACTACTAAATAGGTCTTTTCGAATTCAACCCGCCAATCCGAAATTGACACGATCAACTCATTTATTTAATCGTGTCGAACTTCTTTTATCTTTTTGTTTGTATGTTAACACAAATAATATTAAATTAACACGATCAACATATTTAACTGATATTATAAAAATAAAATATTAATTATTTGTTGTTGTTTATTAAGCACTGACATAGTTATTGTATTAAAAAGATATTTTTACTCATTATTATTGCTATGTTTATTAAGTTAATTTTTAGTTTATAGAAAAATTATGAGCATGAATTCAATTAAGTGATAATAAAATCTTAAACTTAAATCTTAGCATTAAATATTTTTATTCAAAATTTATATGAATCAACATGAATACAAACACACACCCGCATGAATAGTCTAGCGGTGTGGAGTTGAACTCAAACGAACAGTAGACTCGAACGAAAGGGGTTCAACTCTCACTGAAGTCTCCCAAGCTTAACCGATACATATGGTTTGCGAGTGATTGCAGATATCAGGGATTTACTCTCACAGGGATGGATCCAAAGTGGCCCTGGCCTTGGAGAGGTTCCACTTTTTCAAAAAAAAAAAAAAAAACCACAACTACAAATACAAGCACGATACAAAAATAAACATGTTAACCTAAATTTTGTTCAGGAGTAATGTGGGTATTAAAGTGTAAAAAGTTGATAATGTAATCATTTTTTTGACATTGCAATATTGATGCTAACCACAGGGGTACTTTGCGAAATGGTCGATAACAAAAAGCGATGTCAGTGTAATTTCAGAAAACTAAGAGAATGTCTCTATAATTAGACTAATCTACATGAGGTGTCAATGTAATTTACCCTAATATAAAACAGCAACATGAACATAATGAGCTTTTGACCAAAGTCAGCCCCACCCAAATTAACTTTATTTCCAAACATAATCAGTTTTATACTTATTTCTCAAATTCAGTTTCTTTTTAAAAACGTCATTTTAAATGACATCTTCTTGGCTTAAAATTTTATTTAAAATGACATTTTTAACCTTGACAAAATTGAACAAAGAATGTAATAATTATGGAAAAAAATGTCATTTAAAGTGACACCTTTAAAAACGTCAGTTTGAATTTTTAAACGGCTTGGCAACGGTGTTATGTGAAATTTAAAAACATCATTTGGAATAATGACTCTAAAGGTGTCATTCCAAATGATGATTTAAACGAATAAAATCAAAATCAACTTTCCCAAATCACAGAAGGCTTAGGTCAATTTTTTTTTTTAAATCCACCCTCTCTTAGATCCCACACTCATATCGCTCTCTCCTCTCCTCCAACCACTCACCCACCATTTTCTCCGACAACAAAGACCACTTCGACGAAGACCATTCCAACGACAAAGACCACTTGGGTGAAGCAGCCTAACTCCAGCAACACATATTTTCTCTGGTGATGCTCTCTTTAGAAGCCCCCCCAATTCAGATCACCATCTCCTCTCCTTCGACTACTGTGAAGGTATTAGCTTTCTCTCTCTCTCCTCTCTCTAAAAATTTGTGCAATTTTCAGTTTTACGCTCCGGGTTCCAATATACTAAGGCCATCTCCTCCAACCAATCAAACCACTACTTTGCCGAAGCTACTGTCAAGGTATTTTTCCCAATCTCTCTCTCTTTGTATTTGAGTAGATATAATTGTAATTTAGTTGGATGTAAAAACCATTTTTCTAAGATAGTTAGTGTAATAAAGTTCTAAAAATCAGTATTCTAAGATCTAAAAATGCATTATTCTAAAAAAAATTATTGTAAGATCTATATAAGAGAAGATTGTTCTTGAAATTGAGTTTACTTTGGCCAAGCAACACAGAAGATGCTTCTTTTTCAGGTGTTGTGGACGCTTTAATTATGTCTTCTCTGCTTTATTTATTGAGGGCCTATACTTGATGTTCTCCTAATTGGAAGTTTTTATCTTCATAAACCATATAAAAGAGAAGTTGTTAGTTAGAATGCTAGACTTGGACTGCTCATTTTTATTGCATGGGCTCTGTAGTCAATTGTAGAGCACTCTATGAAGGACTATTTTGCGTAGATTCATACTTGCTAAAATAAAATTAAGTGATGAGATCGACTTAGAGGACTATTTCTCTCAGTCAGACGGAATCAGTGTTACTTAGGTTAGTTGGTCTATTATTTGGTCTTTGGGGAAACAAGGTTGCTTGAGATTCAATTCGCTTAATCTATTGACCTTGAAGAATATTTGATTGTTATCTTGCATTATTCCTGTGTTTCTAGTAATCATTTAGAAATGAAGGTTTTAGTCATGGATGTGTAAGTAGGGGACCTGTTGAACATATGCTATAAATGTCACAAATTT